CACGTTGACTGCCATGCAACTTTTCACGATTCCGGTCTAAGAAGTCAACTTGATTTAATCATGTTATGTTATAAAAAGCTTTATTTATAGTAAATAGTAATAATCAGAAAGCTTAAAAAATGTTTTTTTTTTTTTAAAAAAAAAACATTTTACGAACTTGTTAAGCTTTGGAATGTCGTGCCGGTATTTTGTTCGGCCCTTTGTTTAGAACAGACCCAGAAGACCGTTAGGGTCTTCTGGCAGCCAGATTCTAATTGCTGTTTTAGTTCAAGTTCCGTGTTCTTTCTATCTTCATTTTCAATGCATTTTCAAACAATTCTTTATTTCCCTCGGGTCACCGGACACGAGGCTTTCTTTAGCCATTAATGTTAGAAAGCAGGCAACAGCACTTAGGATTTGGCTGACAATAGGCCTGCAAAGAAAGGGACCAGGCCATGTGCGATGTCGCGACTTTCGGAGCCATAAAGTAACGGGTCCTTCAGGAAGGATCACGAATGCGCGGGTGGCCCACCAGCAACCCCCTTTGAGGGAGAGGCTTCCTCCACCGGCAGACCTGGTCGCGGAAGACGGTCCTCCCTTCTTTGGGGGCATCTGATTCGCGGACCGAGGGCCCACCCTCGGTCCTGTCAACCACCAATGGGAAAACCGATTTCCCTTTGGAAACCATGGGCTCCGAAAGATCGTGCATCGCACAAGTTAGTTAGGTCAGTACCAGTCAGTCAGCAAATAACATTCGAAGAGTTCAGAAGAGTTAACCGGAACTATTACAAAATATACAGTCTACTATAAACACAAGTTCCTCAAGAAATTTGGTTCGTCATTAACCGTCGCCAATTGCGGACGACCTATTGACGATATACAGAATTATCTGATAGTTGGAGTGCAAAATTGTTTTGAAAATTGTCACAAACCATAAAAATGTTATTCTACGTGAATAAACTTGTATAAACTTTTTCTTTTAGAATTATACTACAGTTATACTAAGGGTTTCCTCGTAGCTGAACAAATATGGCAAATAACGAAGGGACGAGATAACTCGTAGTAGGCGACCTGGGCAAGGAAACTGTGATAGTGGTTGTCATAGAATGTTTGGTATAAGTGTGAGAAATGTTTGTGTGGGAGAATGTATGTGTGTGACGAGTATGACAGAGAGTCGTGAAAAACAATTAGTGGATGAATGACAGTCATCAGAAATAGACGTTGTGTGTGAAAGAGTCCTGAATAGATTATATCGCAGTAAGAAGCGAATTTATTTTATGTGATTTAATTATAATTTATGTTGTGTTGTTATACTGTTCGATAAATATTATTATCAGTTTAGCCATTTACTTACAGAAACAACCTACGAGATATCTCGTACTTGGCAGTCAACGTGTTAATAGTGACTTCTTTTCTATATGTTATTTAAAAAACGGTATGTTTCTTTTGCAATTCCTTTTTTTTTTGTATTATCGCATGATGCATGAAGAATATAATATACCGTTTCAGTGGATTTCTTTATGTTTGATTTAGTTGGAATTTTTATTGGAATTTTCTTGAAAGTGGGAAGTATAATGAAGTAATAGTATATTATTTCTTTTTACACACACATATCGTATGAGAAATATAATATGTCGTTTCAGTAGATTTCTTTATGTTTGAAAATAGGTAAATTGTAGGTGAATAATGAATTTTGTATATTAGAGTTTCTATATTATTATATTGCAGATTATTTAAGTTGTATTCTACAATATATTGATATTAATATTTATATTATAAGATATTGTTTATTATTTGCATATTATACTTTACAATTTTCTTGAAAATTTTGATACATTTGCTATTATTTAATTGCTGCATTTTCTGCCTTTATCCATATAAATACTTAAAATTGTCACATATATATATATATTTTGTATTGTATAACTATTCATTATGAAGAATATTGTAATTCTGACAAAACAGAAAATTTTTACATATTTTATCCTTATTTATAATCATTCTACATATTTCCTATATTTTCAAAAACACTTAAAATTGGAATATTTACATTTAATATTATATACCCAATATATATAAAGAGAAATTATAATTTTAATAAAATAGAAAATGCTATCATTGCATATTATATCTCATATTTAGATTTTAGATTAATCATAAAACCATCTATCTACTATACACAATATACTTCATGCAAACACCTAAAATTGCCATAGCTGCATTTAGCACTCCATAGTTACAAAGAATTCTGATATTAAAGATGCAATATTAAAAATTCCAATCTTAAAATACATAATAAATCTTAAGAAAATATCCACTATCAACAAAATATTATAAAAAAAAAAAACAAGCAAAAGTTACAAAACTGTTTTCTAATATCTACATCTCCTTTTTGTCAACCAAACCATGAGAAGAATATTCCTCAACCATAACGTATTCAAAATAGTTCACTGTTCTGAATTTACCATATGCACAAAAATATCTGTTACTTTTGAATCTCTAAATACCTCAGCTTATTAAACACATTATTAACTTTATTACCAGGAGAAGCTTCAAAAACATAATCACTGTTTAAGAGTTAGGACTCAGTTCAATAGCAACTGACGTATTATAATCTTATAGATTTAGACGGTGCACAGCAGATATACTACAACACCTGACTAATGGATTTCAGCTACCGATGACTGGCAGATAGGCACACGGTATACCTGTACTTAAGGGCAGAGGATTGACAGGGCGTGAACGGGGATAACAAGAAACGCCCCCAAATTTTCCTAAATTTTTTAGGTTGGGCAATCCTCTCTTCCCAGCTACCAAACTCCTGTCTCCATCCTGTATACAAAGCAAGAACTGCGAAATTTTCATTACTTTTTGGTTCCATCTTTATACTTAATTTTGCTGAAATATTGAAATTTCAGTTCCAATATTTTCAAAATAAAGAGAATCGAATGTAATAAAATGTCGAGTCTAAATAGACACAGGACTGCAAAGGGTTAGAAATCCAAGTTAGGGTGCAACCTAAATGTGAAAGAGGTTGAAAACAGACGCATCGAAAGGCTAACTGTATGGCCTCAGTTTATGGCTCCATGGGTTACAAGAACCATGAATGCAGTCAGTATTGAAACCGAGGCCAAACTGGGGAGTTGTACTGACATCGAGTTCTCATTGCCAAAGTTCTTTCCTTCATTTAGTATAAATTGAGTCTAACCCTAGAAGCTCTAAGCTTTCATCCACCCCATGAAATCCTAAATAAACTCCTTCGAGTCTATACTACTGTATTCTTTACGTACCTTTCCTTCAAAATTGCACTTTGCATGGAGTTTTATCATCCTTGAACATGATATACATTATGAATCATATACTACGTATGAGTATGCAATAAAATGTTATTAAAATAAAATATTGTCTTCTTGCTACAACCCCTAAAGTTAAACTCGAGAATTGAAATCGTGGATTTTTAAATATCGGACTCTCTACTTTCCTGAATAAAGTATGTCTGAGATAAAGTCCAATATCAACGAATTGTATCTATGTATACCCCATTACCGTCATTAGAGATGTAATTATAGATAAAGTTATTGACAAGTATCGTCAACATCGAGATGATATCGATAAAGCGAATACAAGCAATTGAGACAGATTGCAGCAATTATAATAAAATTGTTTAAAATATTGTTGAAAATAAGATACGTTTAACGTATCGAATATACAAAAATTAATCTATCAAGAGAAATAGATATATCTTTATTCTATGCGCCGAAGAGATTCCGGGAATACGTGAAGTGTTTATTTCACAGGTTAGATAAGAATTAGGAGACCAGTGTTACGCGAAAAATTGATAAAAGAATTTCTTTTTTAATAATAAAACAGGTTTACTTAATTAACATATCACACTAAATTCTTCTCACCTCTAACACGCAATCCTCTATTCTCGACTACACACCATCTATGTGCCTCGCGTCCTTGCATCCTTATTTAAAGCCAGATCTATCTCATTCTATACACACGCTTTCTCTCTCAATCATTCTACAGACATTCCTACAAAAGGATTTGCCGCTGTATATCGTCCATAGGTCTTCCGCAATTGGCGACGGTTAATGACGAACCAAATTTCCTGAGGAACTTGTGTTTATAGTAGACTGTATATTTTGTAATAGTTCCGGTTAACTCTTCTGAACTCTTTGAATGTTATTTGCTGACTGACTGGTACTGACCTAACTAACTTGTGCGATGCACGATCTTTCGGAGCCCATGGTTTCCAAAGGGAAATCGGTTTTCCCATTGGTGGTTGACAGGACCGAGAGTGGGCCCTCGGTCCGCGAATCAGATGCCCCCAAAGAAGGGAGGACCGTCTTCCGCGACCAGGTCTGCCGGTGGAGGAAGCCTCTCCCTCAAAGGGGGTTGCTGGTGGGCCACCCGCACATTCGTGATCCTTCCTGAAGGACCCGTTACTTTATGGCTCCGAAAGTCGCGACATCGCACATGGCCTGGTCCCTTTCTTTGCAGGCCTATTCTCAGCCAAATCCTAAGTGCTGTTGCCTGCTTTCTAACATTAATGGCTAAAGAAAGCCTCGTGTCAGGTGACCCGAGGGAAATAAAGAATTGTTTGAAAATGCATTGAAAATGAAGATAGAAAGGACACGGAACTTGAACTAAAAAGCAATTAGAATCTGACTGCCAGAAGACCCTAACGGTCTTCTGGGTCTATTCTAATCAAGAGCCGAACAAAATACCGGCACGATATTCCAAGGCTTAACAGCCGCTATCATTTGTATTTTTCGCGCCAAACACTCGAGTCGAACCCGATCTTATATACACCGTTGTCATCACCTGACGTTAAGGTGGGGCAATCCTTATCCACTCATTACAACCAGGATGAGTTGCAATCGCATACCCTTTTTCTGCACTCTAGTTTTGACTCCCTACGCGAACAGTCAGAATACTTGAGATATACCTTCCTTAAGGAAGAATAAAGATAATTATAATGTAACGATAGTTATTTCTTTTTACCCATAATAAAAATGGGTAAAAGTGTAACAGATCTGACAGCTCGAAGGGATTTAGGTTCATATATAAGTGCATGTTTACCAAAGTATGTTCAGAAAATTCAAGCTGCTTGTGGCGATGAACCTGAAGTATTAATCTGTCCAGATGGAATTATCCCAACATTACAGTTCTTAAAATGTCATCATAATACTCAATATACTGTGTTAACAGATTTGACTGCAATAGATGTTCCTTCTCGTCCATATAGGTTCGAGGTTATCTACAGTCTTCTTTCCTTGGTATATAATTTACGTATTAGGGTGAAAACATATACAGATGAATTAACTCCTTTACCATTAATAGAAGGAATTTATGATGCTGCTAACTGATATGAGCGAGAAGTATGGGACATGTTTGGTGTAGTGTTCAAAGATCATTCAGATCTTCGTAGGATTCTTTCAAATTACGGTCTTGAAGGTCATCCATTAAGAAATTTTCCTCTCAGTGGTTTTGTTGAGGTACGTTATGACGATGAATTAATAAGAGTTGTATGTAAACCACTAGAATTAACACAGGAATTTCGAAAATTTGAATTATCTGCACCATGGAAACAGTTTCCTAATTTCAGAGATTCTCCTCCTATTGAAACTAAGGAAACTGACTCTTCTAAGGCAAGAAATAAATTATACCGTTATAGTATGTTATAAATATATATTAAAAGGGATATGTTTTAATTGTTACATTTATATTTATTTAGTGATATTATTATATATCCTTCCAATAAAATAGATACAAAATATATCTTCTTCCAATAAATATATTAATCGTTATCCGAACTTGTCAGAACAACCTAAACAATATTGTTGGAACCCGGATTTCAATATACAATACGGGTTCTAGCAACAAGGCTACGTTGGAAAAATACAAGTCGGCGGAGAGGAAAAAACTGAACTGTTCTTTGAAAAATTTTGTAGAGGCTTATAAAATGTTAGGTTTTGGTAGGGTGAAGATGACCATTGGCTCTTAGTGAAACTAGGAATGAGTCAATTGTTTTTTGACTCTGAAATTGGTCTGCGTTTATCAGCTAGGCCCTTCTAGTGACTAATGGCCAACGAATCGTTAGTCATCCAACAATATACCTACTATTTAGATATTTTAATCGCACCTTTCTCTACTTCAAAAAATGTATAAATATATTTTATAAATTCATAAACATTAAAAATAAGGGAATGTATTTTCTGCAATGACAAAACGTCATGTATCTGAAAGATAAATTTTTAATAAGATATCTATCGAATTTATCGATAGTCGATACTCGTACCTTTGACCACCACTGGGTATCGTTGTCATGTTTCCACAGACCTCATCTCTCAAAAGGCAGCTCGACGTGGAAACTAAAATGATGCAGCACACACCGAACAGGATTGCACTTCCCCAAACCAAGTAACCATGAGTAATTAGGAGAAACTGCGAAATTTCCCGGGCCAGTTCCGTCTTAATCTATAATTTAAGTTGAGCAAAGTAGGGAAGAAAAAGGTAGGCTAGCACCTGGTCGTATCCTCATCAATCAATGACCCTGCCAAAGTTTTCTGTCCCTCGGCAGAGGATAAAAGGGAAAAGCAAACGCGAGAGAAAAAAGGCGAGAGGAGCAGGGGGAAGCTGGTAGGTAATTTTCCAGGCAATCGTCGGGGCGCGTTGGTCGAAGCGCATCGGAGAGTGAAACAGTTCTTCAGTGTCACCCGACTGATCCCTCTAGAGTTCAAACAGGAACAGGAGATGAATCGAGGCGAAACGTGATATCTCTGTCGCCTACGAAGCACAGATTATTCATGGTTATCGTTCGCAACATTGCTAGACTGATATGAGAGACTCCCAAGAAGGGACCAGCTACTTCGTATGACGGAGAGATTGCTCGAACTACGAAGACAGTTTGTGATATACGATATGATCGGTGAAGCACGATCATCAATAGACCAGGTATTCATTTTTCTCCTTCTTCGTTGCTTAGTCCTAGAATCCCGTTCACCACTCGAGACTGCTTCAGTTCTAGGTATACTCCGTTCAACGAGAATTGGCAGGAAATATAAACAAAACGGTCACGTGATAGATGCTGCGGATGGAGATAATGTGGATAGAAATGGACACCAATATATTCTACGTTTTTAAACAGTTAACACATTGGTATATTTAGATAATGTTGAAAAAAAGATATGGGATCAGGGTGTGAGTGGGTTTTCACGCTTCGAGGGAACCTTGTTGGGTGGTTTAACAGTGTCGGGATATGGTGTCTAGATTTAATTGGTTGAGTAACCCCAGCCACTTCTCCGGAGAATGATACGTGTATAATACATGTAATACAGTTTTCAGAATTTTTATTCCAAACTTTCTTGAACACGATGAAAGATGGTTTGTCGAAATTGTGACACGGTGTTTGGATTAATGTGTTGCATGCAGGGTGCTTCATATGTTGAAGAGCGAAGGCAGTGGATTTTCCTGCTGGATGCCTTCTCAGCATCCAGCTAAGGTCCATTGACTCTTAGTCACTGAAAGGACTTAGCTGATAAAGGTAGGCCAGCGTCAGAGTTCAAAACATCTTACTCATTGCTATCTTGATTTAGAACCAATAGTCGTTTTCACGCCTCCAAAAAGTAAGAATATGTAAGCACCTCCTAAAGCTGGACGAAGGCAGTTCTTATTCTTCTTCGCCGATACAAAGTTATTGTATTTTCCGACGTAGTCTCGTTGCAGAACTCTTATTGTATATAGAAGCATTCCGAAATACATTACAAAAGAATAATCGGTCTATAACGTTCTCAATTCGGGTTCCAACACAGGAAAAATTAAAGGAAGCAAATAATTTTAACACATTGAGCGGCGGCGGCATATGAGACATTTAAAGCCTGAGCACCGGCCTCATTCGCTTGTTTCCGAACAACGAGTAGCTAAAGAAAATATTTAAAATTCATACATTTTCTTAAAATACTATATTTTGATCGCACATTCGTCATTCTGTGGACATTTCGCTACTACTAGAATCACCGGAATCACTCGAATATTGTAATGGAACAGCTCTTGATATTCTCCTTGGACCTAAATCGCTATCACTGTCCTCGACTTGTATGTCAGAATCTTCTGAATGTATCGAATGATCTGATAGAGAGTCAGCAATATACTCGTTAAAAACTTCACTCGTATTATATGGATAAAAAGTTACAGAATAATAAGACTTATTATATTGTTCGACAAAAAGCGTAAACCTAAGAAAGAGGTACTAACTAAGGAATACACTGCTTGAGAGTGATCCTTGCTTTGATCGTTTCCGAACCATCGTATACGATTTATTTTCGTAGTATAACAAATGCAGATTGTCGTAAACGTGACAAGTGAATGCAAATTGATGTGTAAGATATCCATGCAAGCAAAATTTGTTAAGAATATAATGAACTGATGTAGGTGAGATACTCACAAAAGGAATCAAACCTGATCTGTCGCATACGAAGAATATTCAGCGACTGATGACGAAGAAAAGTCACAGCTCGCGGATTATTCCGCGTTCGGTGATAGAAAACAGTCGCGGGCTCGCAGATTATTCCGCGCTTGGTGATATGAAACAGTCGCGGGCTCGCGGATTATTCCGCGCTCGGTGATAGAAGACAGTCATGGTTCACCGATTATTTCGCACTTGGATGCAAATGGGTAAATCCGATCTTTACCGCACAATAAACTTTTAGAAGTGCAAAACAGGGCTGTTGCTAAAATTTTCTTCGAAATATTAGAAGTCTAATATTTCTCTGTCAATTCTCGTTGAACGGTATATATGATTTAGTACTGAGCACGATTTGCAGAATTCCTTTGTTACGTATTAATTATCGATGCATGGGCTCATATATAGTACAGTGACAAAATGACGGTATATCCTGTGCTTTCCTGCGCTTCTTGACACCAATGCAACGTGTGTAAAGCTATCGATCAAAAGTTTGCGATCTTAATGGAAGTTTCAAACTTTGGAAGCTTAGATATACTCAAGAATCTAAGATCCATGAATACTACATTATATTGCAACGTCTGTAGGATCTAGCCATGATTTTCAATAGCAGAAGAATGTACACAGAAATCAAAGGGATCAGATGTTCCTCTTCTGTCAATTAATCCTAACCGAACTTCGCTTTACGAGCCCAGAACGGCGCCATCAGCACGTGAGCATGAATCAAAAACGCAGTTCCATTATTTAGGAACGTTTTGATCGAGACATACCATTCCTTCCTAATTTCCAGCAGTTTTGGAATTGGAATTCATTCAAATTCACCGGGATCTGAAATCGCCTGCTGAGTAAAGCCATCAGAGGTGGTAGAGGAAGAGTAGGAGAGAGGAAGGCAAAGAGAGAGAGGTTTGTCGATTCGATTTCCACAGTCCAGTCTGGCTCTTTCCCCTTTTACCAGGACGATCAGCCAGGTTATATTCGAATCGTCGATGATAGTATTGGTACCAGGAACTCAAGTCACTGATTCGTTTCACCCATGCCGGCCGACACAGCCAGAGGCGCGTTTGATTACCGCGGATTTAACGGCTGTACTCGAATACCGGGTTTAGATTACGTTTAGATGGCTCAGGACGCAATACTCTTCCCTCGAGCTGGCCGATTGCGTGGCAGAATATATCGGTGGCCGCCAATTTAGCCCTCCGATCTAGATTAGCGTCGGGTACAGGTGGTTTCGCATTCTGACTGTTAATTCTTCTCATGTCCCCCTCTCTTTATGAACCAGCCGAGTCGATCGATCATTCCACATCATCGTACACGCGATCCGGCGAAATTCACAACACGGAAAGATCAATTTGACTCCGCGTCTATGGTTTGATTAGGTCGTAACGGAGCCCGGGCTTATTGTACCATGGGACCAAGCCAGGTCCTGATTTTTAATCTCTTAACTAGACCTGGGCTTCCTTGAAAAGCACGGAATCATATCGAATACGCGATACAATCGGATGAAAGGACAGTTAGGGAATAAGCTTCTTTCGAAGTCGCCATTGTGGGATCGGCTCAGCAGAGATGTAGCCGAGTGCTGTGAAAATTGATAAAGCTTGGTACAGGTGATGGAGAGACGTGACAAATGGACGAGAATTTTCCAGTGGTTTTTACGGATGATGAGGCTTCGATGAATTAGTTTGATCTTTATTCCGATTGGCCAGGTGTACGAAATGAAACGGCGTGTTTGAAATTTAGCGAAATTTTGGTGGCTTTTAATTTCGTCAATTTTATTTCACGTTCTTTTTTTCTTTAGTAGTTTAGTCGATTTGGCAGCTGTGAAAAAATCGGGACATCCGATTTTATTAATTCAATTCGAGATAGTAGGATTTATTTACCCGGTCAATATTTCTAATTTTGTTTCACTGCTCTGCACACCAGCCGCTTTCGCGTGTCACTAATTAACTCGTAGGCGTAGGTAAACCAATCCACAGAAACATTCCCTTTAGCAGCATACCAAACACGACCCCATTTATACCAAACCACGCGAATACCTTATTTATCTTCTTCGATTGCACATTTTGTCGCGATTCAATTTGAGAAATTAAATACTATTAATTATCCAATGTACGAGAAGTGGTAGAATATTCTTTTGATACCGAATTTTACTTAGTTACGACGGTTTTGAATTTTGAATAAACGTTAACCATGATTTCTTTCATCTTAATTCCTACACCCCAATTT